TAGTATTGTAAAAGTAACAAATTCAAGTTGACTTAAACTTTATACCTCTACTCTCTAATCAGTAGTGAAATATTCTAAAGTTGCAAAAATAATATACTTTATATTATTCTTTAAGCAGTCAAAAAAGCTTCTTTGAACGAATTATAATTATAATTATATATATTTTTTTTTTTATTAAAGAAGAAAGTCTCGATGACGTGGTTATTGGCTTGTTTTATATACAAGTACTTAAATAATTTTAAATAAATTTATAATTATATTATATTGAAATTTATTTAATATTTATTTAAATGTATATATGTATGATATTATTTAAGTGACATTGTGTTAGATAATAATGAATAGTTACAAGAAAAATATTAATTTCATCATTGAAATAACAAAAATCATTATCATTGTAGAACTTAGTTATTGTAAAACATATCTTATGTAATAGTATTAAAAATAGCTACAAGCTATAATATTTTTAAGCTAAGATTATATTGAATTTATGTATTTTATAATGATGAATGCCAGGGGCCAATATCAAATAATGCAGTGCAATGTTCGTAAACATGATCGACTTACACTGTAAAATTAATAGAAGGTACTCAATTTCAAGTTAATCTTATTAGGGTCAATAATTCAACCATAATTGACAAATTTCCTAGAAAGTTCAGTATCAAAGCTTTTCTTCGGAACTGTAAACTGGCATAATGGCAATAATGTTTAAACTAATATTGAACATACAAGAAATCGAAATCATATTTTACTTCTGGTGATACATCAATATTATAAAATTTTCAAATAGGCGAGATTTAATAACTATAAAACAAAATAATATTAACAACACAATCATTTTGATTTAATTATTAAGAAGAATTCCTTACAAATTGGGGAGAATAGAGCCAGAACAGTTGAACCCAGAAATATAAAATTACATTTTATTAAACGTTCACAAAAACTGTAACTTTTCAGAAATAGACTAGTCCAAACCTTAAGAAAAAATATTCTGCTACATGACAGAGTTTAATTGTTTTGACGTTGGTAAATTAATAACTTATTTCTGGGTTTATTTCAGAACCAAAGTAGCTAATATGCGCATAGCCCATAGCACTAGATAAAGCCATTTTGGCCGCCATGCGTGTTATTTACGAATAAACTTAGTTGTAAAATATCCATATGGTAGCCTAAACTACAATAAGATTTTAAAAAATATAATCTGCCGAAAAAGACATCATATTTACACATTAAATTAAGTAAGTATATAATATTATAATGGCTGGGTACTATTATATCACAACTATAATTATATTATTAAAAATAGAAAAATCTTCATAATATCTAAAAAGATTATCGGCTTTCTCTTAAAATAATGTAGTTATTGTGAGAAAAGCTGTTCCGGCCCCTCAATCGTTGACAGAATATTGCAGAATTATGTACATAATATTTTGGGTTTCTATAATTTATTTATTATTAACCTTATCTATTTATAAAAAAATACATAAAGTGAAGACTCATTAAAATAAAATTAAAAATATAGTTCTATAAGTACTTGACTAATGTAGGTATACATAAATCGGTAAATAAGTTATGATAGTCACAACTACTGACAATGATTGCTGCAGTTGTTTATCATATTATAATATTATATGAATAATTCCGATTCATCGTGGTCTCTCCGAACAATGCAACGTGGTTTAAATATAATACACACTTGTAAGTGTAGTACCTACTCATTCATTTGAGATTGAGTAATTAACTAGACAGGAGGTGAATTTATCATTTATCATTTGTTCGATAACATACTACAAACGATGAGCAATAAGTACCTTACTTACTATAAATTTGCATACATAAAAACGATCAATGCAACGACATACTCATAAATTATATTTATAATCTATTAGGTAAGAATTAGATAAATACATATATTTTAACTACCTACCTTTGTTATATTTTTTTTCTCACTAACAGTTGAGTTGGACTTAGTCGTTTTTTGAGAATTAAATGAGTAAAGTTCAGCAAAACAAATACATTCAAAATTTAAATAAAACCAATCAATGATGCAGGGAATAATCCACTAATACTTATATATTTGAGTAATATAATGTTGATCGTGTTTAAAATTAAATTTGTCTGATTAAAAAAGTTAAGAATTTGAAAATCAAGTTGTGTTTCTATAATGGCGCGAAGAAAAATAATCACGAAACCCACGAGGAAAATATATTATACGATTTATACGAACGATTAAAATCTATATAATTATAACATTAAATATAAATAATAATTGTACAAGGTAATTGGTGCACGTAACGAAATGTGTAACCACATGCCTAACTCTAATTACTTATATACGGATGATGCCAAAATTAGTTTTTGTACAAATTTATACATTTGGGATACGGTCTTAATTGGCATTTGTAATATTGTAATGTATAAATAGCACCTAAAGTCTAAACAATATATATGGCACAGAACTAAATAATTAAATCCAATATAGTTAACCGTTTTTGGGAGAACATTAAAGATTTCTGGTACGACTCTGGTACACAATATATAGGTAGGTATCAGGTATGTATACATAGTTTAATTGGTAGGCACAGACGCTATATGCCTGGCATAAACTTAACCTGGGCCATAATGTATATTATGTCTAGCTTAAACTCAGGTAGATGGAAGTTTAAAGGCTTACCGAGTATAATTGGCTTACAATTCCAGCGCACCGATATTATCAGCAGCCATAGGCCATATAGCTATACTTATTATTATTATTATTATTATTATTATTGTAAGGAACATCGCCGTTTTGTAGGTAATGAATTTAACCGGAATACATTTGTGATGATAATTGCAAAATGTACCATACTAAGGACAATTTATTATTATTGTTTAAAATCAAATTATTTACACTTTTATAATACACGTATAATAATATAATATAATTTAATACAATTATATAAAGTAGTAACCGATACAAATATAGGTATAACAAGAGCGTTTTTATTGGTACGTTTAAGCTCATCGTCGAGTAATTACCTATAAAACATTGCTGAATAAACTATCACATGAGTGACATGACGTGTTCTATAAGCTTTAAATAATACGACCGTAACAACGTTAGGTTAGGTTAGGTATTGTTCATTAATACTACTACAGAGAAATAGAGAACTTTGCAATTAACTTACTATTTATAATAATATGTAATACAATGGTCACGTCCAACAATAAAAAATCCTAACCTAACTCGATTTGCATCCGGTTGAAATCCACTGTTTATAAAACGTTAAATGTATACCTGTTTAAAAATATAGTATTTGAATCAAAAGTAGCCAGGTAGGTATGCATTATTGTATTTAAAAAATTAGTGCAGACGAGAATATATGAGCCAGTGCAGTAATGTGAGACCAAATGTATATTATATTCATTTCTTCGTCGTGAATAAAATATCTAATAAAGATTTCAATCGATTTTTATTGCATTTTTTCAGTACGATGTGTAGTCTCCCGAAGCATAATATTCTCGAGCATTATATTATTATGGGCTATGAAAATCCAACTCGAATTTTCGAACCGTAAAATGCGTTTAAAATGTACGACGATACGCATTTGATTAAAACGACGTATAGATTTTTATAATTAAATGCCAATACAAAATATTCGATTTGTTGTCAGTTGACTGGTTAGGTACAACTATTATATTATAATAATGTTGCATTGAATTTTAAAACGAAACATCTAACAAATTCGTTAGTGACATTTTAGCAGCTGAACACGCGGGCCAAACTATTAAAATGCTTTTTACTAATAAAACAGTATGACGTGTTTAGTATACAAAACGCTAATAACTATTATTCTCGTCGTTGCAGCGTGAGATTGTCGTGAGATTAAAAGTAGATACCTACACAATGAAATGTATTATTATTATTAAAGTTCCGAAGCGGAATAAGGAGAGTAGAAATTACATTGGGCGCACATGACCCTAATAAATTCGATCGGTGCTTACTTTCTTCTAAACACCTGCCGCAGTCATTGCTCTCAGCCGATCGTGACGGAGTTTAAATCCCCGCGTTATCACCGTTATCAACCACCGTCTGTTATCTATTGCGGTGTTCAAAAATCGGTGACAGAATATTGTCATTATCGATTTGAATTATTACATTATTACGAAAATCGAACAGTCAAAATATTATATTATACACCCGAGAGAAACTACTCACAGTTTCGGGTCCGTTGGCGTAGGTAGGTACAATAACCACAGACGTGTGCGGGTGGACGGTCGGGCCGGGCAAAAGAGAATCGCGTAAAACCTGTACCGCCGTTTCCTCCGGCGGCGGCGGCGGCCTGGAATGTATGTATAATATATAATACGTGATATGAAACCGAACAACATGCCAGGGAATAACCGTCGTAGCTTCCCAAACTCGACGACGAAACCGGAATCGACCGGAACGATAATATAATATTATTCGAATCGACCAAAGTCGTCGTCGTCGTAACGTTCGATCGCGTTATCACACCCATCGGTAAAATATTAATAATATTGTATTACTATAATAATTTGTCGCCTGGTCAGTACTAGAGGAAATAGCCGGGCGTTCATAAATGGTTACGATGAATTGTTCAAAATAATTAAACGAACGTCGATTTAATATTTTCTTTGTCGACCTTCCGGAAACGTGGTGATAACATATTAATATTGTTTTCAAAACACCACTAGTCCGGCGCACGCGAATACGACTACAAATATGCAAGGGCAGGAAATGTGTGTGTCTTGGACATTTAGTACATCCCCCGTATAGCATAATACAGTTGGGTAGATACTGCCGTACGCCCGTATTGGGCGACCGGTTGTTATCACTACGATATTACAGTATCTTGGTCGACTATACAACATTACAGGTGGCACAGGTGCGCGCGTTATCAGTTGTCGTGGTCGTCTGCGGAATGCGACGGCGGCGTCGTAGTCGTCGTCATGTCCGTACGCGTTTATATCGTTTGTAATAATATTTTTTGTCTTACCTGACTTATGTCGGAGGCCGTGTCCATGTTTCGTCCGGACGTTTGACGGCAACACCATGAGTCATGACAGCGTCTGCTGGGCGCTCTCCTGTGCGTTTCTTGTGGGTATAGTTGGATTACGCGGCAGCGGCGGCGTGATTGCGATAACTATATTATTCTATATCTGTTATTGCCGTCGTACTAAACGGACCGAAAATGTTGAATCGTACGTATGAAAACAGACGGCCAACGGACGCACCGGCTCGGTATCGCCGGGCACAGTTGTTAATAAATAAAAAATTAATAGTATAGTATTATTATTGAAGCCGGTCGCGCGCAGTGCCTGCGATATTATACGCGCGCGCGAACTCGTATCGCGAGAATAAAGAAACGACGGACGGCCGCGTCGTGTCGAGTTTTGGGACGCACTCGGCCGGTTGGTAGCGACTATAGCGACTGCCGATGCACACACTCACACACACTCGGCCATAACCAGTCCCTCTCGGCCGTTTACACGCGCGCACACACACACACACACACACACACACACCACGCTGGTCGGTAGGTCTACACGCGGGCGGTACGGTAGTGATATTCAGGCCATACCCACTCCACGGCACTTATNCACACACACACACACACACACACACACACACACACACACCACGCTGGTCGGTAGGTCTACACGCGGGCGGTACGGTAGTGATATTCAGGCCATACCCACTCCACGGCACTTATTATATTATTATCGTATACGAATGATGTGTGTGTGCGTGTGTGTGCGTACGCGAGTAAATATAATAATAATAATAATAATAATAATAATAATAATAATAATATGTATATTCCGCTTAACCCAAATATTATATTATATTATTATTTATTATGCGCGCATTCGACCGCCGAAAATCTCGAGTACACGTTGGCCGATTCGGATTCCGAGTTTGTTGTATATTATAATGATTTAATAATATATATTATCGCGTAGGTACCCTACCTATTAGAATATTGCTTGCGATATTAATTTTATTCAATAATATTACAAAGTGGCTATTTATACCGTATGCGTGTTATTAATATGATTATTAATATGATATTATTATTTTATCGTGTATCGTAAGATATGGGTAACGGCCTTGATTGGTCTTACCGTTTTAGCTCTTGAAGACTTGGCTTGGGTATCGATAATGTTTCATTTGGACGTTTTGCCGACGGTACACATTATACATACTTCATTGGTTGTATTTATGTACGTGTTGTATTTCCCGTGACGATTATCCTAATATCACTGTAATGATATGGACATGTGATAAAAAATGAAAATCGTTAGACGGGTTAGGTATAGGTGAGGTCGATAAAAGTAAGCTACTCAAGTTTTTACCACAAACTAATAATAATATGAGTAAATTTCAGTACCTTCGGCGAGAATATCGTCTTCATACTTTTTACACAGTACTGACAAACGTCCTAACTAAGCAAACCTACCCTTTTTTTCTTGATAAACGACGCGCATGATGAGTACCTATAAATACCATTAAAAGTGAACATTACAAGCAATACCATAGGGGCCCCATATAAAATATCTATATAGTCAGATATATTTACATAAACTATTGGTTTGATACTACATGTACACATTCGCATTGTTTTAGAAGCAAAAACACGTGCCAAATGCTTTCCAATTCCGGTGTTTCTAACAAGCATCCAAAAAAATATATATTTATATTTATATTTTATTTTTTAAGAACATCAAATATTTTAGTACTTAGCTTATAAAAATACAAATTTTTTGACTATATTTCATGAATCATCTATTTTTAAATCTCCTGAAAAAATAATTCTTGTTTTATAGATTTTGAGTAGAGCGATTTTGGTTTCACAATGATGTGTGGTTTTTTTCTTTGTTTGTCTGCAATAACAATATTTGGGAACAGTAAAAAGATTTTATTTTAAATTTTGTGGGTAGTTCTTAGTAACAACCAGCAAATTGAATCTATAATCGGTACTTTAGGGAAGGGGCTCAGAGATAAAAATGCCAGCACTTTTCATAATAATGGGGAAAAAATAAAAACAATTATTAAAAAAGGTAAATATTTACACAGTTATTTTATTTTTTTATTGTTGTAATTCAAAAACGAATTATCAATGGACGGATACTTCTTGTAAACATTCTATATGTTACTAGGCATAAGCTTTTATTTACTACTATTTATTTACATTTCAAATTTTAGGCTATTCTTCATAATGTTATTTGTTTTAATTTTTAATTTCATACTAATGGCATTAAAATCTAAAATAAGATTTCCCATTGTTATTTATTTGTTCTATTTAAAGTTATGTGTAAAGCCACATTAACTTTTTATAAATATCATAGGAATCAGCAGTTACTTATGTTCAAACGTAAAATGGCGATTACCTTCAAACGATTTTTGATATTTGTTGTTATTTAAAAGATAGAAATGATAGAAACATGAAAGACTCCATTATTACTTAAATTATCATTATCTGCACACAATTACATTTTTTAATTAATTTTGCAGAGCTTTTTATAAAAATTTTAAATTTACTACTAATAGTAGTTTCCCAGTCGGACAAAAAGTATAAAAACATTATACCTCAAAGTTTCTTGTAGTTCCTAAAGTAATTTTTAAATAGTATCCGAATTCAAAATATTATTTTTTTTTACAAACGTTACTGAATGATGAAATTGGTAACAATAGAGCTACGTCCCCAGTTATTTTTGTCTATCATCAGTAACATACTGACATTTATATAGTTTATATTTATTTATATTTATATAGTTAGCTATTACCATAAATTGGAAAAAAAACTTCGAAAAACTAATGTTGAAATTAATATTCCCGTTTTTTGCCTATTTGTGTTAGTTTATCCCAATTATTATGTAAAATACTGGGATTTTCCCATTTTTTACCCACCAATGTAACAATATAAGATCAAATTCTTTGTATAATTCTCTTGTTAAGTTTCATTATCATCAATCCGAAAATAAAACAAAATACTTGATGTTTTTCATAATAAAAATAATATTTTTATTTAATTTTTTTAGTTTTATTAAAATGGATAAAATCCTAAGATGTAACAATATATTCCTCCTTCTAAAAACTATAAATTTAAGATTTAAGAAAATAACAACAAAGTAGGTACCGAATAATATTATAATAATAATGAAAGTATAAATATTTCTTTATTAATTCCTTTTTAAATGTCTTTTTCATCAATTCGAAAACCAAACAGAATGCTTCATATTATTGTAATTAAAAAAAATTTTGGTTTTTAGTTTTTTAGTTCCTAATTTTATTAAAATGAATACAATACTAAAATATACCTTTTCAACTATGCGAAAATCCTATAATAAGGTAGAATACAATTTTACACAGTATTAAGTTTTGCAGAGCTGTTAAATTATTATTTATGAGTAGGTATAACACATTTTTGTACAAACTAGATATTTTTTGAACAACCAAATAAATCATATAATATTATTATATTCGAGTCACTATAGCCAATTAATAATCTTTTATGCTTCAATGTTATATTAGAATATATTCTTAATCCTCATAAATATTTAATGGATCTAATTTTTATCAACGCCAATTATGTTTTAAATTGATACTTTATAGCTATATACTATTAACACAATTAGGCTGACTTATAACAATAACAAAATTAATAAACGATAAATATAACTGGCAACGATATTTCATATTTATTTATTTGGAATTCATATAAAAATAAAAATACAAACTTATAACATTTTTATTAAAATATATAACAACACCTGTTACTACAAAAAAACTATTTTAATTATATTAGAATGTGTTTACTGTTCATTTATTGATGTAATACAATAGTCTAAGATTAAATTGTTACTTTTCGTTACATTATGTATCACAATAATAATCCACGCAATACCGTAACCAAAACCAACCGAATGAAAAATTGAATTTTTTTATCCTTAATATCATTCCAAATCTCATACTTATTACATTATGTATGATACGCACATAAATAATTCTGTGCATTATATTTGAAGTAGGTACATCGTTTATATAATGTACATAATATGAGTTCTATAAATCTAAATGAAATCTTTATGGTCGTAATCCGTGCTCGACAAATATAAACAACATAATGTAATATAAGCATAATATATTTTGTATTCCGTCTTACATATTATACAATCAGCGATCACAGTAATTTTAGTTCTATAATCACACATCGCAAGTCATATTCTTATCGTGAATATTATAATGACAAAATGAAAAATCATAATTTAATACAATCTTAACTTCAATGTATTAAAATCTGTATAATCTACACAATATTATTATTAATCAGAACGTAATCTGCATATATGAATACTCGATTGTCTTTTGCTTTTATAATAATTATGTACTGTAATGATTCATCAATCCATCATTATCGTTGTGGTATGTATGCGCAGGACGAGACAAGGACATACTTGAACATAATTGCAATTTTATTGATTAGTAAGTACCTACCAACTTTATTGGAACACACAAAACGTATATATATATAGAACATTAATTATTAGTAATTGAGTATTAAAAGATATTCAGTTCGAAAACTAAAAAACACTATAAATTTAATTTAAAATTAAATCAAAATTACATTATTTTCTTCTCTGTATTTATTGTATTGCAATTTAAATTTCGATTATAAATTGTTAATTCATACTTTATAGGTAAGACCTAGGTTTTATAACTAATTAATTATTGTTCTCTATTTGATATCTTTATTAAATCGTTGAGCACTCGCATTTATGATAACAATTATAATATTCCCAGCATATCAGCATGACCTAGTTTTTGAATATTATGATAAAATCGAAAAAAAAATGTGAATTAATTGTATTCAAAAATTGTTTCAAACTCTTGTATTATAACTATAGGTACTAGTTTAAAATATTATCATCAACTAAAATTCTCGGTCTGTTTCTTTTTTTTAATTAACGAAAACGGAATTAACTGGTTACAATGTCTGAATAATAACATAATATTCACTTCCGTAATAGAACACGTTGTGCCCGAAATCCATACGGTTTAAACCCATCCCACGCACCTCTCCCACACTTTACACTCCTTCCTAACCACACACGCAAAATAAAAAAAAAAACTTCGAGGCTCATAAATAGATATGTTTATGCCCATATATATTATATTTATGCTGTGAGTATGTTTAAGAATATGTAAACCACAGGCGATTGTTTATTTTTAAATGAACGAAATTCGACTGTGGTCCGTTGTACAAATAGAGAGAAAATATTATAGGTAAGCGCTTTTCTTTTTTTTCATTTTTTTCATTTTTTATTACTCCTCTAAATTCAAATCACCGGGTTAAGCAACCGTTCACTGCACTGCACAGCACTAGGTTTGTATAAAATTGCTGGCTAATTATTACCTCTGTTTCGTATAAAATAACTAT